CCATTGCCATTTGTTTGTGTGGTGGGAGTGAGACAGCAGTATCCATTGAGAGGGCTTTAATCACATCAATAGGAGTTTGAAAACAGAAACTTGATTTTGTTGGGAGATACTCTACAATCAAAAGCATGCCTTAGATTGTGTTCGGGCAATTCCTATGATCAGTTTTGGAGTTTGAAAACTGAAAATGAGATGATAAAAAGATGGAAGAAGGAAAAGGGGGGAAGAGGAAAGAAAAATGAGCTACCTTTGAGGGAAAACCAACTACCCTTTAGCCCAGGCTAAACATGTGGATAAAAGAAATCATTACAGCAAAGTGAGTCAGAGTCAGTTCAGTTAACTGATGTGATCATCAGATGTAAAAGCACCACATAGACATTAAATGGCCACATTAAATTCATTCAGAGTCTGAGTTCAAACCATGAGTCTGCTGAGGTCATTGAGCACCATAATCAACAACATTACCTGCTGTTTTAGTATGCATTGTTTTGTTTTACAGCTAAATAATACATGGAAATGACATGAGAAAGAGAAATATGTGGTTTTTCTTTCCATGATACAGGATATAGGAAAAATTGGCTAAGATGGCTTAGTACTCATTTAGTTTTTGAACACAGTATCTTATTTTATTTTAAATACTAGGGGGCCTGAAAACCCTTTCTCTTTTTAAAAAGGATTTATGTTTATTTGTGTGTGTGTGTGTGTGTGTGTGTATGTGTGTGTGTGTGTGCATATGTGCATGCAAGTGCCCACGGGGGCCAGAAGAAAGTGTGGGGCTGAAGTTACAAGAGATTGTGAGCTGCCCAACATGAGTGCTAGGAACCAAACTTGGGTCCTTCAGGGGAACAGCAAGTGCTCTTAACCACTGAGCCATTTCTCTAGTCCCCAGAACTCAATATTTTAGATTATTTGTGAAAAGAGCTAACCAGGAGGGTTGAGATCAGGAACTATTCTGTTTTTATGGCACACCAATGCAAGTAAACAATGCTTAGAGAGAAAATGAGGTTTCCTACTGAGGCCATAAAATTACTGGTAGCACCTTGCATGTATGGCATGGGTTCTAAGTGCTGAGCCAGTGCTGAGTGCTTTATGAGATCTTATTTCACCCGAGAACAAAACTGAAATATGACATTAGTATCTTTCTGTTGTACATGGGAAAACTCGGATACAGGAAAGTTCAGAAATGTACTCAATAGTATATACTAAAGAGTGGTAGAGTTTCAGTCTAGCCTGGAAATCTGCCTCCAGAGTTCACAGGCTTAGTCATTCTAATCAAGAAAGAAGGAAGGGGAGTGGGGGAGAGAGCATGAAGGAACTAAAGCAATATTAACAGCAGAGGAAATGGAGAGAAGTGGAAAGATAAAAAGAAGAGAAAGAGGGAGAGGAGGGGAGACTGGAACGGAAAGAGTTAAGGAAAGGTGGAGGAATGGAGCACACACAGACACAGAGCAAGGAAGGGGAGCAAAAGTGGGTGCCATGCCACAGGACAGGAGGTCGAGCAGTCACCATCTTCATGTCAGAGCACTGAACTACTGCTGGGTTTTACCATGTCCTGCCTGAGTCAGAGGAAGAGGGAAGTCTTCCCAGAACTGGTAAAAAGTGCATTTTGGAAGCATTAGACTAAGGACAAGTTTCTCTATAGCAGTCATTTATCTGGGTCCTTTTCCTTCTCTAAACTTGTCAGATTCTGAACCATTCACAGAGAAATAAATAAATATAATAAATAAATAAATAAATAAATAAATAAATAAATAAATGAGGTTAAAGGATACCTTAACCTTTCAAACTCTCTGGTCTGAATTTACTAGTACTGGGACAAAGGGCATTGCATAGGAAATCAAAGTCATTTAGGCTTGTAGGAATTGCATGCAAGAGTCAGGACCACAGCTAGAAACAGGCATGGAGCCATGGTCCTCCTCATGTTCCTGCCTCCCTTCTGGGAAGAAGCCAGTAGGTTAAAGGGCCTTGTCCCCAGCTCCAGGAATTCAGTCAAGGCAACAGCATGAGCAAATTAGTGAGCTAGACCGTGGGAACCCCAGAGAGTGGTGACCTCCCAAGACCGCAGCACTGACTTTGGGTTCATCGCTGCTGAAAAAGGAGAATCTGATTTTTTTTTCAAGGAGTATTTGTAAAATTCCCATATTCTTCACCAATCCATTTGGCCTTTCTGTTGCTGTCTTCTCCCAGGACAATATATCCCTGAAGTATCTCCTGGATAATACCAAATTGTGGGAAACAAGCTCAAGTCTCATTCACGACAAGGCTTACTCACTTTTCTCACTATTCTGCCTGTAACATTTACCTCCTTCCTGTTTCTCCTCAGAGGACTTTGTCTTTTTTATTTTTTATAATCTTGTATTAAACTAAATAATATTTTCCTAACTTTGCAGTTTTAAAAAAGGAAAACTAGTGAGTTCCAGGACAGCTGGGGCTATAGGGAGACCCTGACTCAAAAAGACCAAAAAAAAAAAAAAAAAAAAGGAAAACTGTAAGGCGTGTGGGCAAATTCTAGATCAACTGTTTCTCCCCATCCTCTATGTCCTATTATCCTAATGGCCTGAGCTAGCATGGAGCCTTCCTCCATGTGGGAACTCCAGCACCATTCCTTCTGACCAGCTCCATACACTTACCAGCTCTCCAGTCATCCAGCTCTCAATGGCTGCTCAAAGCTTCTCTATACCTGCAAGGATGTTTCCTCATGCAGGACCTTAGAGTGTCTGGCCTGGATTATTGACTTAATCTTTCTACTGGCCTCTCTACTATCAGTCTGGGAGCTTGCAACTTACTTCGAACAACTGCCAGTATATTATTAAGTACACATTTGGTCTATCTCCTCCTGAAATTTTGCAATGTTCCCAGTTCCCCAGGATAGTGTTCTAGACTCTATGATTTTTGAAATCTGTCAAAATTTCTGTTCTTATCCCCTCCAATTCCTTTTTTGAACCTGTTATAAAGATCAGCTGTTTCTAAGCTGGGTGTGGTGGCGGCGAACACCTTTAGTCCCAGCACTAGTGAGCCAGAGACAGGCAGATCTCTGAGAATTAAGGCCAGCCGTCTACATAGCAAGTACCAGGCCAGCTGGGGGCTACAGGGAGACCCTTTCTCAAAAAGACCCCCCAAAAAAAGAAGAAAAAAAGGATCAGCTGTTTCTAAAGTGGCACATGGTTACCGTTAATTGCTCCTGTCCTTGGCATGTCTTTTTTTAAAATCTAGCTAGCGCCTACTTTTATTTTAAACTCAGCTAAAGATCTACCCCTACCGAGAAACCTCTCACTTCCTGGCATTATTTAAATCTCCCGTGGGGTTCCCTTAACACTTTTTATTTCCAGCACAGTGTTCTGCAGCCGTTGATTTATGGCACCTGAACTCTACTGCCAAGTCCTCAAGACTATGGACCATGTTTCTTCTGATTTGGTAACACCTGCGCTACTTAAGGAGCCTCGTACTTAGAGGATGACCATTGACAGAGTGATTGACATTGGATTAC